ATAATGAGTTCAATAGCGTGCAAAATGTAATTCCCAATAACTGAGCTAAATTATATAATTTTTTAATATATTGCGTGTAATTTTTTCTTTTCGGAAAATAAAATTGTGTAAATTTAAGTATGGTGTAAATATATTCTGTTTAAAAGTGGTTGGGACATCACAATATTTAATATAGCTCATGTGCGTGAAATAAAAAGTCTGCAGTGACGTATCATGGGGGGAAGGGGTCTAGCAAAGATTTGGATTCTTAAATGTGCACTACTTAGTTCATGTTTTGTCATGTAACTTTAGTAGATGGGAGTTCACGCATTGCTGTCGCCAATGTTTGACGGGCTATATCTAGTTTTTATTTAATTAATACCACATGGCGAATTTGGTAAAAGTTTATAAAATCCCATAAAGATCCAAGTTTCTATATCTAGATTTACACCTAATGCATAGAAAGCATTTTCTGTGGGTTGATATACCGTTTAATTGGTTTAAAAACCTTTTTGCAAAGTGCCGAAGGTTGATTAAATAATATTTGTTGCTTAATTTAATCTGTTCAATCTCATTGATGATCAGTTTGATCAGGGGTGGACAACCCAATTGTCATCACAGGCCATTTTGACAGTGAGTCAACTTTTTGCGGGCTGAATGTCATCACACTAATAAATTAAATAAACAACAAACCATGTACAGAATTATTTATGTTAACTTATTGCACATAATTTTCTCATGTAATAACATATCTGCATGTGCAGCACAAAGACATTAATTCATTTTATAGATTTATTTAAGTTTAAACTCTTGATTTATTTTAAAAAATTGTAATACCTTCATTTCAAATGTTCCGCTATAACAAGAATGAAAATAAGAGCAAATGAAATGAAGAATGTGTGATACATCTGGTATCGGACGTGCTACAAAATTTATCTCGCCTTGTCGATGATATGGCTCACAGGCCTCGTTTGCCACCCTTGAAGCAGACATAACTGATAAATGAGGTACTCAACATCCATAATTACAAAATTTGGAATAAGTTAAGCGTTAGGGCGGGCATAGTTTGTAACATTTGTCTATTTTGTAACATTTGTCTATTCATTTGGGGGTTTTCATTGAGATTTTTTTGATTGTGAATTTTTTAACTATATAATGTTTTTGGCTCTTTTTAGGTTACAGTATCAAGCAGTACTGTCTCAGGGTATGAAATATTTTTTACTTGATTTAATTAGGTCTCTTCATTTTAATATCGGCTTCTTTAAAGCTGGCCTTATAATTTAAAATCTATGTAACTTGTTTCCATTTAATTATAACCTATGCTATATATGCACTTAAAAAAATTTTTTAAATTGTTCACAGACATGTACAGTTACCTCAATTTGGAAACAAAATTCTTGGAATAGGGAGAGCTTCCATCAGGGGAGATGGAGCACAGGAGAATCAATTTGGATCACGTGGAGGGGGTGAGAGAGGAGGGTTTGGTAGAAGAATTCAAAACAATGATGGAGGAAGAGGTGGCTTTGGAAAAATGAATTATGATAATGATGAAAACAGCTTTGGAAATAGAAATGGAGGGAAAAGTGGTGGTGGTTTTGGCAGTAGAAATTTTGAAAATGAAGACAATAACAGTGGAAGAGAGCGAGGTTTCGGTAAAGGATTGAGCACAGATGATGGCAGGTCCTCAAATCGAGGCTTCGGCAGTCATACTTCAAACAGTGGATTTTCTTCTAAATATGATGAAGATATAGATGTCTCCGACACTGGAAATTCAGGCTTTGGAGGTGGTAGAGGGCGTGGATTTGGAAATAGAGCAGACCGAGGTAGAGGAGGTACAAAATTTTATTATCTGGCTCAGCTCTGACTTTTTTGTATATTTATTTTTTTAAATTATATAATAACCAATGATTATTTTTATTTAAATAAATCACTTTAAATTGTTAACTGTTGACATAAATTCGACAAGTTTGTAAACAATTTTGATTCAATTTATTTTATATATATGAATTAAATAATTTTTATGCCATCATTAAATTGGAATTTTAAAAAAAATTCAAATTACATAATTCTATTACTATGTCTAGAACTAAGCTAAGAGAAACATTTGAAACAACTTTCATTTTCAGAAAATGAGATTGCATCCCTTTTAATATGGAGAATAAATTTTTTATGGACAATAGATCACACATGCCAACCTGTACAGTTAACCTTACTATGTACAGTTAACCTTACTTTGTGCAGGTTTTAAAAATTTTGGAGTTGAAAATAATTTTCTCAGATATTAATTAACACATCTACATTGTATTAAGAAAAAAAATATTTTTACACACAGCAGCGACAACACGCGATTGAAATCTTAACTGGAAGTGTTATAAAAATATGGGTCAACAATATGCTGAAATCCTATTTATCTGTTCTATATACCTTATGTCCTTAGTCTGAGATTGGTAGACTATCGATAGGCTATCTAAATTTAGAAAATGAACACAATTTTATTAAAGTATTTTGTTAATAATACTACAGCTTTATTCGGTAGTATTGAAAAATATGTCTAATTACATCTATATTGCTATCAAATTCATCATCTAAGTCAAATTACAACAAAATTGCTTTTGGCTAGTGTAAATAATGCAAAATCTTAGGAAAATCAGACTTAAAACGGGCTATATTTATTTAAAAGATGCAATCTATCCAAATGATAAAATATACACACAGTGATAAATAGATTATTCTTGAAAATTAGGTATTTAAAAAAAGTTTACATGCATTCAAAACATTGATAATTAGATCTAAATGATGAAAAAAAAATTTTAATTACTTTTTTTCTAGTATTTTTTCATGCTGTTGCACAGTTTTTATCCCAACAGGTTGGCATGTGTTAATACTAGATAGAAGCACATTTTTGTTATTAGAGATTCTGAGTTTTGACCAGCTGAAATCTAAATTATTTAAAAACTGACATTTTTTAAAGTAAATAGTGCAAGTTAAACATTTATTTGAAATGAATATTTTTTCTTAATAATATTTTAGATACCTTTGCCATTTTCTTAAGACAACCCCCTAAGACATAATGAGAATTGTTACAATGATTTATTGAGGGTTGACAATAATAATAAAATAATAAGTTTCAATGAGAGCTATTTGGTTTCATTTTTTATAAAAGAAATCCTGTGTGTGTTTTCAGGTGCCAATCAGGGAGGCAAGCCTGGAGATTGGGTGTGTCCAGATGAGTAAGTTTACTTTTAATTTTAAAGGTAATCATAATGAAATAAAGTCTGTTACTGTTACAGAAATTAATTTTTTAATCTATTTTTTTATAGTAGAAATACATTGGCTATTTTGTAAACACATTATCTTTCATTGCAGAAATTGTGGAAACTCAAATTTTGCATTTAGGAAAAATTGTCAAAAGTGTGACACACCTAAACCAGATGAGTATGTATTTGAAATTTAAACTTAATTAGAAATTTTAGTTTTAGTCAAGTGTGAATTTATAAGAATGAAAAAAAACAATCTTTGAAGATGAAACTAATGTTATATCTTTGTTTGCAGTGGTGGGCGTGATGGAGGGTTTGGCAGGATGAAATCGGGTAACTAAACCATTTATTTCTTTTTTAGCTCAATTTTCAAACATCGTTTTGGGAAAATATCTACTATTAGGTATATATATACATTTGTTTGAAGTCTTTATTCAAAGCATTAGCAGATACATATGTCTCCCATTTGTTTTCGTATACTATTTATAGGAAATGATGAAGGTTTTAAAAGTGGTGGCTTTGGAAAAGGTGGCAGAGATGAAAGTCAGAAAGGTGAATGGTTCTGTCCTGACACGTAGGTTTTTTTCCCGTCTTTATAGATATAATAATCGTTCATTTTATCATTGATATCTCTTTCTCTAGATTAACTTCATTTATTTGAAATTGTAATATAACCAGACTTGTTTACTCTTACCGTTTTGGCGTATAATGTATGATTTTGAGATAGAGTATCTTTTACGGTTTTTCGCCGAGACCTGTCAGAGCTACAATTTTAAGAGACCAGGTTGAAAATATATACATTTTGGTAGTGTTTCCGATTGAAAAAAATGTTAGTTTTACTGGCATGTGCATTCTACATCCTGCAGTGAGTGGAATGAGAAATACAACTGGTTGGGGACCATCTATAATTATATTAAATTTGCCTGAGAGGGGAATGGAGGGAGATTTTGTGATTTCAAAATTAACACCTCCACATTATCAGAAATATAATGGCGATGGTCACATTTGTTGCATTGTATTTTCACAATTAAACTCACTAGTTGTATTTCAGTTATATTTAGTCCACTGTATGCTCAAAGCGCATGTGACTTATATTTAATTAGGTTGCGCCAGTGCTACTAAAATGTTGTTCTCTTAGAACCTATGCCAAATTCAGGTTTTCAACAGCCGGTTACTAATGAAGCTTGATTGATTTAATTCAGTAATAAACTTATTAACATGGTCCACCAATATCAAACCTTTTCAAAGTAGGATAATGAATTAGCAAGACTTTTAGATATTAATATATTACACGAGTAACTAACTGCTCAATTATTCTTAATGCCATGGGCTTTGTGAAGTCCTGTAATCAAACAGTTCCAGTGGTTGGCAAAGCTGGGCTCACGAGCAGAGTGCGGCTCAGCCAGTCGGCCACAGTTCAGTTTTGACTCAGAAAAACATGTTTCTTGACAGGTTCTTGAAAAGAAATTTGTCTCTCAAAATTATTTTTATCGTCCTCCTGATTTTTGGCTTTTTTGATAATAAGTTTGCCGACCATTGCCCTGTCTTTATTCCTTCCAAAACTTGAACAATTTTGTGTTCCTTGCCCTTGTTGGGTGGGGGATGCCGCCCTTTTGAGAACAAATGTTCTAAATTCTTAATTTTAACTTGTTCCACTTGAAGTAGCCATTGAATAGCCTTAAGCCATTTCATTGCAAATTTTTCAACTGGTAGAGATGTCTATATATTAATGGTTTCGTATCTTGTTTTTTTTTCACCAGGGATTGTGGTAATAAAAATTTTGCATTCAGGAAAGTGTGTCAGAAATGCAATACTCCAAAACCTGAAGATTCTACTGGGTAAGTATTTTATAGTACAGATAATAACAAGCATTTTAATTTAATAAGATATTATCTTCATTAACATTTTTGATATACATTTGCGCTTAGACTTTCTCAGCTCTAACGCATTTTTTTTTTCTTTCTTCCAAATATAACGTATTCATTAAAAAGTTGATAGAGACAGTGAAAATGATACAGTATGTGCTCAGTTGGTTTGAGTCATTTATACACCCCTGTATTGCAATTAAATTTACTGCACTTATGGACTTAAGGCCTATGTATTCTAGCATTCCCAGGGGTCTAATAATGTTAAAACCCATGTTTAGAGGGTCGTGAATAGGTTTTCATGCTCAAACTATAAAAATGTTCGATTTATACAAAAATTATCCTACTTGGTAGACCTTCACTTACCACAATAGTCTGGAACTAAATAAGCGCAGTAAACAAGGGATGGCTGTAGACCATTATTTGAATTTACATTTTTAAAAGTTATATTTTCAATTCTCCCATTTGACACATTTTTTAAAACATTTGTATTTACAGAGATGGTTCAAGTGGTAAGTATCTCTACAATCATTGTTTTCAAATAATTTATCAGTATATGTATTCAGTGGTAGTTGTTTTGGTATTGTATGATCACATTATTAAACTCTGTCTATTTTAATATTTTTTGTGTGATTTAAATAATGAAATATAAATTTATTTCCTACTTTAGAAAAACCAAGAGAAGCTCCATATATTCCCCCTACACCATCAGAGAAAGAGGAGGACATATTCAGCGGCACTGTGCAGAAGGGCATTAATTTTGACAAATATGATGATATACCTGTGGAAGTCAGTGGCAGGGATCAGTGTGGATTTATTAGTACTTTTGATGAAGCTGGACTCTGCCCAACATTTATACGAAATATAAGGCGTGCCAAATATGAGAGACCAACTCCTATACAGAAGTACGCTATTCCAATCATAACTGCTGGTCGAGACCTAATGGCATGTGCTCAAACAGGGTCGGGAAAAACGGTAACTGCTTTTTAAAGCTTAGTAATTAATTTTGCAGCTTTTTAAAGTCATATTGAAGTTTATTTAACAATTTTTTTATTTGTTGTTAAACCCCAAGCATAATCTTTGTCTTAATTTTGTTTAATGATGATTTGTGGATGATTTTTTTTTAAATTCAAAGGTTTTCTTCTTTTTATCATTCAAAAGGCAGCGTTTATTCTCCCGGTACTCACAGCAATGATCAACAGTGGTCTAACAACTGATCAGCATCAAGAGGTGCAGTTACCTCAAGCAATTTGTGTTGCTCCTACCCGAGAGTTGGCTCTGCAGATCTACAATGACTGTCGTAAATTTGCTTACGAGACTGACATCAGAGCAGTTGTTTTGTATGGTGGGACGTCTCTTGGCTACCAGATGAGGCAGGTTGAAAATGGGGCACACTTTGTCATAGGAACTCCTGGTCGATTGTTGGACGTCATTGCTCGTGGAAAGGTTAAATGGCTTTAATATTGAAGTTCTTAATTTATATTTTACATTCCTGTAAATAGTTTTTCTTGTTGTCATGAACTTATTGAAACAAGTAGTATTAAATTATATACTACCTTTGTCTTAGAAATAACTTTTTTGATTATTTACCTTGCAGATAAGCCTGGCTTCGGTTCAATTTTTGATACTTGATGAAGCTGATCGTATGCTAGACATGGGTTTCGAACCAGATATTCGTAAATTGGTTCAAACCATGGGTATGCCACCAAAAACAAAGCGTCAAACACTGATGTTTTCGGCAACTTTTCCTGAAGAAATCCAGAAGTTAGCAGGAGATTTTCTTAATGATTATTTGTTTGTTACGGTTGGCAGAGTTGGTGGAGCCAATACAGATGTCTCCCAGAATTTCTTTGAGGTAGACCGTCTCCAAAAGAGAGAAGCCCTGTGTGATATACTGAGTGCAGGAGGTTGGTATCTTTTTGTGTGTGTTGAATTTAATTACCCTGCTTACTGAGTTTCACTCTGATCTGAATTAAAGCAAGATCATAAAAATATGAATAAATGCAGACATACTACAACCAAGTATAATATTTTTTAATCAACTTAACTTTGTTTTTTAAACTAAGATTTGTTGCAAAAAAGATCTATAAATGTCCTCAGCTGAAAAAATTACCACTTAACCCATTTAATACGTTTCGCCGCAGTGTGCGTCACCGCGATTTCGGCAGTGTATGTTTAGTCACTCTCTGCGTCACCACTGGTTTGTTTCATTTTATTAGTATTCCAACTTTTCCATTCAACTATTTTATTATATAGCTTATCAAACTTTTATTCAGAAGAGTTCAACTTCCTTTTTGTTGAATTTCAAACCGATTAACCCACGTTTTGTGTATTTTGTGCTCGTTTTTTTTTCCACTTAAAAATTTGTAAACAAAAAACAGCAGATTGGAATGGCTGCATCGAATAACGCTGCTAGTTCTAGTCGATCAGGATTTCGATCTATGACTGCCGATGAGGCAAGTAAATTGATTTGCTTGGATGATTCAAGTTCAAATGACGATAAATCTGACGACAGTGATAGTGATTACGCAAATTTATTATTTGAGGAAACTAGTGATGAGGAATATATTCCGACTACAAAGAGACAAAAATTATCCATTGGAAAAGGGAAAGGAAAAAAAAAAAATCAACACCAACTAGTCCTAGTTCAAGTTCTACTGATTCTGTGGCTTCAATTTCAAAGCATAATTCATCTTCATCTAAGACTAGTCAATCTACTAGTTCAAATTATTTCCCTACAGAGACAGAGTGGTCCGAAGTCCTAACAGGATAAACTGAAAACAATTTCCGATTTCATCCCCTTAGAAATCCTGGAGTTTGCCCTAAACTTCAAAACATTGTAAACCCTACACCTATTAACTTTTTCAATGAACTATTTGATGATAATGTTAAAACTTACATTGTTGAATCTATAAATGACAGTGCTAAAAAGAAAGTTCACATGAACACACCTGCACTTAGACGCTCTGTCTTTAGTCGATGGGTGGACATATCAAGGCAGGAGCTAGACAAATTTATTGCTGTTCTCATCTACATGGGGATTTATAAAAGGCCAGCTATTTCTGATTATTGGTCCATGTCTGCTGAATCCTATATTCCATGGATACACCATGTATTCAACAGACAGAGATTTCAGGATATCTATCACTCCATGCTACACTGTGGGGATGAAAATTCCGAAGGGAAAGATAAAATTGAACCATTTATGAACTTACTCTTGAATAAGTTTAGAAATGCATTCTACCCTTTTCAGAAACTTAGCATAGATGAAATGGTAAAAGGCTTCAAGGGCAGATGGCAATTCAAACAATATAATGCCACTAAGCCTAGCAAATATCATATAAAGACAATTGGCCTGTGTGATTCCTCAACGGGTTATGTTGTTGATATTTTGACCTATTTTGGGGCCAATACCTCCTGTAACCCAGAAACAGATAAAGATAGAGGACAGGCTGTGCAAGTTTTTCATACTTTACTGCAGCATGTGGGTACTGGACACAAAATTTTTGCTGACAGATATTATACGTCAAGAAAACTTGTTGACTACCTTCTTGCCAAAAACCAATACTACACAGGAACACTGAATATCAACCACATTGGATTTCCATTGGACATAAAATCTTTATAAACCAACCAAAACAAGAGCATGCTCTGTGTTGCTTTCAGGGATAAAAAGGCCAAAAAAATAAGTCATATTGGTGTCCACAGATGCTAGGGTACAAGTTACCGAAATGAAAAAAATGGATAAACCGGAAATGATAGACATTTACAATCACAAAATGAATGGTTGCGATAAGCTAGACCAAAAAGTAACATATTACTATGTTTATGAGCGAAAAACATTGAAATGGTGGGAAAAGATTTTTTTCTGGCTGTTGGAAATCACCCAGGTGAACTCAATTTTGTTTTTACTCTGCCAATCAGCAGATGTAATCAGAGTCAAAATGAGTCTCAAACAGTACAAACTTTTGTTGATGAGTCAGCTAACTGAGGAAGTAGCATTAAATCAAGTAGTAAAAGCACCAGGAAAGGGTCCAGAGACCGGATGCCTAGAAAAGTCTAATGATGCACAGCACATTGTGGATTACGATGAACGGGACCGATTTTGCGCATATTGCTCAACTGCAACAAAGCGAGTACCCACACATTTCTATTGCACTGGTTGTGAAGCCAAACCCCATCTCCATCCTTAAGGATGCTTCAAGGTCTTTAATTTAAAATATAGCTTCATTTGTGTATATATTTAGTAAATATGTGAAATATGTGTATTATTTGAGTATAACTATTTTTGTTGAATTTAAAAAAAATAATTTTTTAACACGTGTCTTGGGAAAGAAATTCATAACTTTACAATTTCTGGAGCTACTGCAATGAAACTTTCCAGTTGTTTTTGATATATCATAAGACTCATTTAAAAAAAAATATGAAATTGATTGGATTGTTACCTGATTTCTGAGCTGGTGAGTAAAGAAAAAAAATTTTTTTAATAATTTTTTACATTAAACCTGCAATTATACCCCCCAAAATTTTCTTTGGGAAATTTTTTATCACTTAATTATACTAGAAACATATTCCTGTTTCAATGACCTACATTTGGATATGCAGCATGGTATAATTTTGAAAAATAGCATAACGGAGCTTTTCAATTTAAAATGATCACGTCAAATAGAATTTTATACTCAAAATTTTACTGCGTTCCCTTAAAAATTTGTGACGTATTGAATGGGTTAAGCCAGTTTAAAAAACAGATAAATCTAGATATACCCAAAGAGTGTGAAAATGAAAAAGTATTTTGCAATGTAGGCAGCTTCAAAGCTCAAAATTATCATTAGCATGATTTCTTTCCTCAAATTTAGACGTTTTTCATTTTTAACCTTTTTATCCATTTTGGCACGTAAAAACTAATAACTAAAATCTTAACTCTTTTTTTTTGCGGAATTTTTTTATCGAAAAAATGTACATTTCTTTCGAAGAGCAGAAGAGTGAGAAGTTGGGTTTATTAAAAAATATTTAAAATATTATTCTTAGGTTTATAAGACTAAACTTGGTATCAAATGAAAGATGATTGAATGGACTATATGTTTGTAAACTTATTTCTTCAGTTTAAATAAAATAAGTTACAGAAAAGAACCATAAAACGTGGGGGGAAATTTATGCTAAACAATTTTTTCCCAAAACCCTATCATCTTCACTTCTATAACTCAAATCCTCTAAAACTTACTACTATCAGAATCATGTGATGGATCTTAAAATACAAAACACCACTTTGTTTATGATTTGTTTAAGGTGTCCCTGATAATTTGATAATTACTTGTTATGCTTAATAGCAACATTATTTCCATATTTATCTATTTAAATGGTTTGTTTCTAGGTAGTGAAAGAACTCTGGTTTTTGTAGAGATGAAAAGAAATGCAGACTTTCTTGCATCTTTCTTATGTCAGTCAGGTTTTCCAACAACAAGTATTCATGGGTATGTACAAAGAAATTTTACCACCAGAAAGCAGAATATATATTTGTGACCACCGATCTTCATATTATTGCAGTTTTATTAAATGCTACCTTTGTAAAAGTCATACATAGGGGAGACAGTTCATCGTTTTGGAGACTGTTTTAGAGAATACCTCTACATCAATAAACAAGCCCTTACTTCTGATTCTAAACATTTCAGTAGTGTTAACCATAGTGGAATATTGGACATGGCAGTTACTGGTATATTTTATGCGAGTAATAATTCTGATAGAATTAATATGGAAAATAATTTAATAAAAAGATTTGGTGTGTTGACTCCTCACAGTATAAAACATCTTCACAATTTTACTCGGCTACAATGTCTTTTTCCTGTTTGGCTTTTAAATTAGGCTTCCACCCACTTTTTTCTGATCATTTGAGCTTTGTCTTCTTCGTTAAAGACTTTTGCCGATTCTTATTTTCTATTATTTAATATTTAGGTAAAGGTAGGAGATATATATATTATTTAAATTATACATATATGAATGTTTCTAGTTATATTAATGAAGGCATTTGCCGAAAAATTTAAATTTGTATTGTGTGTAACCATATAAAATTTAACATACATTGTTTTATTTAAACAAATTGTTTGTGTCTCATTAATCTACTTAAAAGCTTTTTTGAAGTCCAACACTTTTATAATTAGTTTATTAAATGCTAGGTATTTAGGAAAAAAGAAATATAACCTATATTAGTTTACCATTTGGATGGTCCTGTTAAATGTTGAATGTTCAGGTTTTTTGGGGGGTAACTAGGTAATGATGACACCAATTATTGTTCATCATAGAAAAGGGCAAGCCCTTGCATTTTAACATTCCAACTGAAACAAATGGCATTTACCTAGGAGAGAGATCAATATAGTGTTAAAAAATCTTGGCTATTTTTGGTTGCTGCTGTTCTCCAAATGAAAATGACATAAAGTCTTATAGCTCCAAAATAAAAAATTGCTTTTCACATTTCTAAGATTAAACAATGACCACATTTTTTTTCTTGACTTTGCAGAGATCGTCTGCAGAGGGAGAGAGAAGAAGCTCTAGTTGATTTTAAAAGTGGGAAATCTTATGTTTTGGTGGCCACATCCGTAGCAGCACGTGGTCTTGATATCCCAGGTGTCATGCATGTGGTCAATTATGATCTGCCATCTTCAATAGATGAATATGTTCACCGCATTGGAAGAACAGGACGTTGTGGCAACCTTGGCAAAGCAACAAGTTTTTTTAATGCTGACACTGACCTTCCAATGGCAGCACATTTGGTCAGAATATTGAAAGAGGTATGTTTTTATATATTTTTTTATGTAACCCATTCTCACTTAATTTAAATGTGTGAACAAGGGGAAGGATCTCCAATTTTCATTTTAACTATTTTCAAGTTCCTAAATATCAATTACTTATTACAAACTAAAGATAAATGCATGCTGACATATTAAAGGTACTGGTATTTTACAACTGCAAGAGTGGATATGACATGGACTTGATTAACAGAATGTTAATGATAGTATTGATTAACCCTTTACAGTCCGATGCGCCCGAAATGCGCCGATTTTTTCCTTAAGCGTACAGTCCGTTGCGGCCAAAACCGCCCGTTTCGAGGTTGTTTACTTTCGTTCTTAGCACAGCGGAAATACATTGCTCATTACTATTAATAGTTCTACCGGAAGAAAGCCTCGTTTCTGCCATTATTTTTAATACCAACTTGAACGTGGTGCGCTTAGGGGCTCATTTTCTATGATTTTTTGAAAAGTTGTGATTTTTCGCTTAAAAAAAAAATGGCTTTCCAAGCAATGGATAAAATTTTGAAAGAGCTTAGGTCTAATGAAGCTTCATTATTTCATGATTCCAGCAGTGATAGTTAAGAATCGGATATAGACATTAATGTAAATGACGCTACTAGTGATAGTGATTCAAGTGGAGAAGATAATAGTAGTGACATCGATGAAAATGGACCTATAATAACTACAAATGATCACACAGATCAGGAATGGTCTGCAAATTTTTCAAGCATCGAATTGTTCCCATTCACAGAGCAATCAGGCCCTAAGCATAATTTGCCTGAGGATGCAGTTGCCTATGATTATTTTTCTTTGTTTATCCCTGATAGTTTCTACCAACACGTGTCAGAACAAACAAATTTATATGCAATCCAGAGTGCAACAAAGTGTGGTAAAAAAGACTCTTACTGGCACCCAGTTTGCTCCAATGAGATCAAGAAGTTTTTTTATATAAATATAATGTTTGGGATCCACCACATGCCAGAAGTTGACTCATACTGGTCTCTAGACCAAAGACTTAGAGTTCCAGCCGTAGCTGACATTATGGGTAAAAACCGATATAAGAAAATAAGTCAATATTTGCATCTAAATGACAACAACAATGCTGTTGCTAAGGGACAGCCAGGCTACGATCCTCTATTTAAAATTAGACCCCTTCTGGACATTATAATAAAAAACAGCCAGGAAAATTATTACCCAGGAAAGGAACTGAGCATTGATGAGGCTATGATAAGCTTCAATGGGAGATTGTTTTTCAAACAATACATAAAAGCCAAACCGACTCCATGGGGCATCAAAGTTTGGTGCATAGCTGACCCCCGCAATGGGTACATGTGTAATTTTAAATTTTACACCGGCAAAGTAAATGACCCAATGCCACATGGCATAGGCCACCATGTCATCTTTACTGTGGGAGGACCATATTTAGAAAAGGGACACCATTTTTACTTTGACAATTATTTTTCAAGTGTCAAACTTGCTGAGGATTTGCTGAATGTGAACACTCATTGTTGTGCAACAATCCGCACCAACAGGAAGGGGTGGCCACTACGCGCAGAAAAGATGAAAGGTGGTGATGTAAGATGTTTGCAGAAAGGCAGGTTGCTGGCAACAACTTGGTGTGACAAGAGACAAGTGTCCATTCTGTGCACCAATACAGAGAGTGGTGTGGAAACTGTAAGTAGAAAATCAAAGGAAGGGCCCAGAGATGTTACTATTCCTCAGCCCATCCTCACCTACAACAGGCATATGGGTGGTGTGGATTTGGCTGACCAGTACAGATCCTACTACCCTGTAGGGAGAAAATCCAAAAAATGGTGGAGGTATGGTCTTTGGTTCCTAATACAAGTAGGAATAATCAACGCCTTCACTATTATGAAGGAGACCATGAAACCCTCCACTCCCAAAAGAAATAATCCAGCCTCCAATCATCTCCATTTCCGCCTAGACTTACTATCAGGAATGCTAAACTCCGTAGCTCAGCAGCTAAAGAGAAACACTGATATAGTTTCTGTTGCAGCAACAGCGCAGCCGTCATCCTATAAGCACGAGCAGATGAGACTTTCTGGAAGGAAAAAGACGTGCCACTTCTGCAGCAAGACCGGCAAAAAAAACAATAGTGGAAGAGCCCCAGAAACTGTTTTTGGGTGCAATTTTTGCCACATTCACCTCTGTAAGGGTGTGTGCTTTGCAGAGTTTCATCAGAGACTATAAGATAGAATATAATTTGATTGACAGAGGACAACATGCAGAATTTAAAAAAAAAAATTTAAAATATTTTTTTCTGGATTTTTTAATAGTCAAACTATTTTGATTTCACCTTCACAATGTCACCCACAACAAAGTATGTCCATTTATCTGTTTTTAGGTATTTTTTATTTAATTTTATGATGTTTAGTTTATTTTCTGTGAATTAATTAAACAAAAAACCTTGATTTAAAATAGAGTTATGTCCCTTTGCTTGGTCGCAGGGAGTAGAAAAGGCTGAAAAGGCTTGGACTGTAAAGGGTTAACGGAATCAAAATGTGGCTCGGAGAATCAAGGGTACATAAAAAATTACCTGTACCACCATTACCAGTTCAAAGGAAAATAGCTATATGTTGAATCTTGGGATAGTCGGAGGGTTTAACTTTAGACAGTTGTAGTGGAAGATAGTTGAAGATGTAGTGTTCCTAGTGCTTTGCATTTGACAAATAGGGGTAGAAGCCCATTCTGTAACCACTGCTTATTAAAATTAATTTTCTTGACACAACCCTCTATAAATGTGTATTTTAAAAAGTTAACTGATCTCCATACACATTAAAGGTTATTTAGCTGTCAACATCTGTGAAAAGTATCTTGTTTTTTCATTCAAGGCTCGTCAACCAGTGCCAGACTGGCTTGAAAACCATTCTAGCGGTATGGCATCTGGTGATGCTGGCAGTTTTAGTGGTAAATTTGGTGGTAAAGACATTCGAAGTGAAAAGGTAATTTGTGGCTCATTTCATTTATTTTTTTCAATTTTAAAAAATGATAATATCCAGATAAGACATTTATTAAATCAATGTAAAGATGCAATTATTTAGGTTAACAAACACTTGGACCCCTTAAAAAAGTAACAATGCATTTAAAAATTGGGGAAAATAATAGAATGAATTCATTTAATTACAAAGAAAACTTTAAACTTAGAAAAGAGGTACTTTATAAAGTAAAATGAAAATAAACTTGTGCCTAAATAAGGTATTTCTATAAAGTAAAATGTTAATGAAGATAGTAAAAAAAATATGTAAACATTTATGTCGTAACTTAAAAGTCAAGGGATCTTCTGTCCCTTCCAGTGTTTTTTCCTCGTACTGTTTATATCACTGGCTGGATGTCCCTTCCTTAACCTACGAACTGTGGTCGACTGATAAAATCGGCCGATATTTTCTTTCTGTACTGTGGCGGCCGATAAAAAAAACACGGTCGGATTGCAATTTCCAATCCAATATTTAACCGGAATTATTGCCACTTCCTTTTATTAATAATTAAATCATCTTCCCGTTCAAGCTGTTTCTTGATAACTTAACAAAATGTACTTTTTAATCAGAATTTGTTATCGCTGTTTTTTTAAAGCTGAAATGGCTGAACTGAAGCTATGGCTGTGCCTTCAGTATGAGAGCTAATAGAAATATTTTTTGAAAGCTTTTTAGGAGAGTATTTAAGTGATACTGATGAGGTTTTAACATTCCCATGACGATCTCAGATCGGATTCTTCTTCTAGTGAATCTGGATACTAGTCTTAGTGATACTGAAGTAGACCTACTGTTAGACTTTGAGCCAGGCCCGGAGGTTGGGCAAGGACTGACTGAATTTTAGTCACAGAAGCTACAGATTATAGATCAGAACTAATAAATTGTATAGTTAAACAACCCAAATCAGTTCCACAGTTCCTTTTTAAATGTTTACTACGGGTACTCAATAACTTTTTGCCTGAGATTTTGTATGCTGTACATGGTTTTAGCTGTGGTCCCAGTTTCTAATATTTTTTTTTAGTAATAAATGACCTTCATTGCTTTCAGATGCTTAATGGGAGTCGCTTAGTCCATTGTTTTATCACGTGATGAGAGTAAATACGAGTAAGACTTCCGGGAGGCTGTATGCAACACACTAGTGCTTGGCAACAGTAGCCCGTTACACACTACAACAAGTAATTCAAGATGCCTAGGCAATGTTCGGCTTTTGTCTGTTCAAACAGTAAAGTTAAGGACATCGGTATAAGTCTGCATAAGTTTCCGCTTAGGGATAAAGAAAAATTAAGACAATAGCTTGACAAAGTGGATCTTCGTTAATTATTCAGATGAAATCTTGTTCCAACCGGTTATTAAAATATTCCTTCGCCGCACAAATATTGAATAAACACGCAAATGACGTCATGGGTATGCCGACATTTCATCCAATGAAAATTAACAATAAAATAAACAAAGAGGAAAGACTCCTACACAAATATTAAATAAACACGCAAATGACGTCATGGTCACGGACCTCTTAGTTCCCATCGAATATCGCTCACAAATTTTTCTTGAAATAACTTTCTTCCTTTAATCATAACTGACGTATATTTATTGTCCCATTTATGGATTTCATTTAAAAAACGCTTGTATTCCAGAATATTTTGAAAGGTAAAATTTTTAAGTAACATGACATTGGGGAAGCACTGATGAAGACGAACATTTTTCTTAAAAATTAATGGCGGATCAGCTGTTATCTATAGTTGTGTGTAGCAGCCTAGTGATGGCTTACTCTCATCATGTGACCAAACAAGGAAGTGACTAAGCGACTCGCTTTGTTATCAAAACCTTAGCAAACTATACATTTTCTGAAAGATAAATGAATTGGCTAACACATTTATATTACTATTTTAATGGAATGTATACAAAATTAATGATGTTATGAGCACTTGAAAGCAAAACATTTTGTTGATTTTTTTTATTCCTTGAGCACTCCAAGGTCAAGGACACTTAACTACTTTAACTGGTGGGCAATATATCCAACTTTATCCTTATCCATTAACTTTTATAAAAATATATACTTCTTGGGGTCTTGTATCAATATTTCTATGTCATTTATTGCTATTTCTAAGGCACCCAAAAAGCTCCCACACTACATAATGATCTATGCCACAGTTTGTGGGTTAACTGATGCTTGATAATATTCAAACATAATCTTTTAATACATTTTCAGTATGGAGGTGGTGGTGGTGGCCATGACAAAAATGCTAATGTAAACTATGCTGCAGGATTTGGAGCCCAAGAATGTGATGAGGATTGGGGGTAGATGAGCTGTGTACTCGTGCTTCATGCTGTTGATATTTGGTTTCTAAAAAGTTATTTTGCATTTGTCTGGTGTTTTGAATTACCAGTATTGAAAGCAGATGTCTCTGGTATATTTTGTGTTCAGATAAGTAATCTGTTAAATCATTTTATTGGCTGATTTTTTAAATTTTTCCTCTTCTGTTCTGAAATTAATTAAAGTGGATTAGGTTGAGGAACTTAGTAACTACCTCATTTAAAAAAACATTATTCTCCTGAAAGTCTTTATTTCAAGAAATGGTCTACAGCATTTGCCATGGCAAGGTTCCTTATATTACTCCAGTGCTATCTTCAGATACTGGAAAGTGGTATTAAAAATGGTGTATTGTTGAAACCATTATTTTCATTAAAGTTTGCATTAAATTTAGAAGTTTCATATTGCATCCCAGAGAAACTAAGCTATGTTCCCTTACATTGCCAAAAATATTCTTAATATTGCATTGCTGCTAACTTAAAACTGTTTTCACATTTTTTAAGGCATTTTCATTTTAAAAAGTATTTTGACATTGTATTTTGCAAACCTTACCTTGATTCTAATTAACTATAAATCTATGGTGATTTTTAAAAAAAAACAGATTAAAAGTCAACTATTTGCATGAAGCTATGTTCTGGAATTTTTTAGTTTTTGAATGGTACTGATGAAATAATAGGCATTGTCTAGAAGTCCTTTTTTAAAAAATTAACCCACTTTTCCCTTACTCCAAATTGACCACACACCCTACAACTCTATGCTTCTCCGGGGTAGGTGGGTTGGAGGGGGCGAGCCTGACCCTTACTCCCACACAAGATGACTACTGAAGTTAACTATTCAAGAGTGGTTTGATTCTTTACAAAGATATCAGAAGCGCCTTTCATAACTAGGCTATAAGAAGTTTAACTTAACAGTATGTGCTAGGCTGTTAGTAGTTACGCTAGCAGCAAGCAGCCCAAAAGGTGATGGCACTAAGCTTGTAAAAAATGTACAGATGTTTAACTTCAGATATTATAATTTAAAGCTAATCTTGATATAATAGCCATAATTTAATTTCATTTGTACACTTTGTAGCAAATAAATTAAGATTCAGTTTTTAATGGGGTTTTTTTTTTTTTTGTAAATGTTTTCGTTGGCAGATGTGAGGTTCGAAAAGTAGGTGTGGCAGGAGTGGGTTAACATATAGCTTATTTTAAGTCAATTTTGATTGTTTTAGTATTAATTTGCAACATTCCATGGAAGAGCTTCTGACGACCTTAACTTTTTATCCTGCTGTGGGGGCTAGTTATATGGGGTCAGCTTTACCATAAATACAGATTCAAGCGTGGGCTCTAATTTTTTAACATGAATAATTTTTTAATAAGTATATGTAATATTTGTAATCCACCATTTTTCTATCAGTGAGCGTCTTTTTATAAAAGACCTAATATTTCTTGTTGTGTATATAAGTTTGTTACATTATTAAAAGTTCAATATTCTATTTCAATTTCACTGCCTTTTTGTTGTGCATTTGATTTCTGTTCTAGAATTCCAGTGCTGTAATTTTTCATTTTAAGAATTGCTGGGTATTTTGATGTCAAAGCTATTTCTTGATTTACTTGGTGGTTCTATATTTTGTCATTAAAGAGCTTTGAATTGCTCCCTTAAAGTTTATTTCACATTGCTGTCTTCTTTTCCTTGAAGTATGCACTTGTCCCAGCCATCATCATCAAATTAGCAAAGTTATTTGTTAAATATAATGGTATTGCCTTTTAATGAACCTGAACTGACAAGGTTCAATAGCTGTCAGGATAAAACAGCACAACTTTATTTCACCAGTAAGAGATTTCTACATGGTTCGAGGGCAATAGTTCTCTTATTTCTTGGGGGCCACAAACTCTTTTGATAGGGAGTGAATATGAAAGTAAATAAATTATTAAAACAGGCTAGCAGGTTGAGAAACACTGGATGATACTGGATCAGGGTTGAGAGATTTATCCAAGTGGCCACAAAGTGAGAAGACCAATGCAGAATGAGTAAGAGTCCCAAATTCCCATGTATTATAATTAAAATACGAACATTTTGAAATCAATATTATTTGGAAAGTTAATTTAACCTCTTTAAAAAGACAACTCAACATATTAGTTATTAATCATTTTTTTTTTTTTTTTTACAAAACTCAAATTTCACCAGTGATCCAACCACTCCCACCCTACCATGGATAATCCCATTCATACCCCATGAAGTTGTTTTCCAGCTTTATTTATTGCTGGATACTTAAGTCAGTAATGTGTCACCAACTACCAGTTTATGTGAGCAACATTTCGTATCCATGTGAATGACATATTTTCAATCTTTACTATCCATGTCAATGGCATGCTACCAAGTGCAGTTATGGAAGTATTGTCTGTGGCATGTTACTTAATGGAATATTTAATACTAGATATAGCCCGCCAAACATTGGCGACAGCAATGCGTGAACTTCCCATCTACTAAAGTTACTTGACAAAAACGTGAACTCAAGTTACGCATATTTAAGAATGCCAATTTTGCTACACCCCTTCCCACACCCACCCCCCCCCCTTTTTTTTTCATGATACGCCACTGCACAATTTTTATTTCACGCCCATGAACTCTATAAATATAGCCGACCCGCGGCTGAGCAGACGCCGATTTA